CCCATTATAATGTATTCAAGTAGAGATCAAAATAGTTTGAAATGATGTAAGAGAAAAAGGGTAGTACTTGTAAGAATAAAGATGATTGCACAACAGCCTTTTTTCCTCACCGCCAGTTTAACCCAATTAAAAGACTGCACATTCGATAAATAAACTGCAGGCTAACTGCATCTCAAGGTTCATTTGTTTACCATAAAACACACACGCCGACGTGCAAATTAAGAAAATTCTAATTAAAGCTAAGAAAAACTAACACTAATTACAATTTGTGCCGTCGCCCTATAGACAGAGGCAAAAACACAGACAGATGGAACCCAGAAAAAAAAGAGAAAACGAACAACACATAAAATACATTTTCGATGAAGCAACTGAAATAGATTAAAACGAAATATACAACCAGATGCATTTGTATCTGTATCCGTTGCCGAATCTGAATCTATATCTCAGACCGTGCAAAAGTATTAGTTGTGTCCACGAAAATAGAAGCAGCGGCGACGCTTTCAACGCGTCTTTGCCCGCGTCAATTGCGCGTCATCGCAACTCAAAGATCCAAGAACACATAGAGAGCCAGCGTCTGAATACTATTTATACGTGGTATATAATACAGCCCCATATATATATTCTTTTTTATTTTTTTGGTACATAAGGGCAGGCGACAATTCTGCGCAATTTTCTTTCGGGCTTTTCTCTTTCGGTCTTGACGTTTTTATCGCTTTTTCTGCGCCTTTCGCCTTCGGGCTTCGATCTTCGGCGGCCCGCCCGTCAAGTGTGTCCGAAAATAGCAAGGTAAATGAAAAATTCAACACGGCAAAACGAGGCAAAAAAATAAGAAAATCAACTTTTAGGCAACCAAAATGCCGAATTTCGAATTTTGGCTTCTAGAAAAAATAAATAAAAGCGATTTCTCCCTCTGAAAATCATTGAAAAACAGCAAGAATATATACAAATGGGAATCAGCAACAACAACGAACAGAAATAAGAAAAATATAAGACAGCGAAATTTGTTTAAAACGTCAAAGACATTTGCACTTTTTGCCATTTATAGTGCATATACATAATATAGTCCCATAATCCACATAGAAATTTTCTTTATTAATTCGTTCCGTCTGCTTTCTATAATAAAGATTTTTTCAAGGGGCGTTGAGTTTAACATTAAAGAGTATAGTAATTTTTGTAGATTTCCCAGAATTATTCTGGTCAGACCTTTGGGCGTTTTTAAAATTCAAATATAATTTATGAACTAAAGGTTTAATTGAATTGGCCTGACTATATAAGATCATAAGAGATGAGATCATTAAAAGTTGTCTAGTTTGTGGTCATTTGGTTTTTACTCTGGATTATAATAATTTTTATTAAGGATTAAAATCGGACGAAGATATCATAAAGCTGTCATAAGAATGATCGAAAAATAATTGCTTAATAATAAATTACCATAATAAGATTTTCATACAAGCATAAAAATTAAAATGTACATTAAGCAGAAAAAAAAAGTCGATTAACCTTTCATTAGTTTTTCTGTACGAGGAAATAAGCAAGTCAATATTTTGTCTTATATACTTAGATACTTGGACTTGTTTTCTTTTTAGTATTTCCTGGTACATCAAAGTCATCACTCATATCACACTTTCAGACTTTTCGTCCCTGTCAAATGAATGAATAATGGATGGGGAAGAAAGATGGGAAATTTGTTAAAATTAACAGCAGAGGCTATAAATCACAATTTGCCAATGATTGTCGCCTTAGGCTCATAAATTGATTAAGCAGCTGTGTGTTGCAGGCAATTAAAAGCAAGTGTTGTCCCTGAGCATCGTTTGGACTCTTTCTGGGATATTTCTGGACCACTTCCCTTGGCCATAACTCACGAAATTTAACACGTGCGTGTGAAATTAGAGGCAGGATGGGGGAAATTGCCTGGAATAAATATTATTTGGGGCTCGCCGCAATTGGCAGCTGTTCAATAACACAGTTCCTGACCTAAGTCAATGGGAAAACTCTCCCGAAGTCATTTGGCCCAGGGGAACAGAATAATGAGGGTGCCGAGGATAGTGGCTCATTCCGCCAAACGATCTCCGCAGCAGACGGCGTGTCTGGCGCGCGTCTTGGAAACTTATTGGCAAAACTCCATGATCATAAATTATGTCGGCTTCATTTGTTTACGCATCGGCCGGCAGGTGGCGCTTTAATTACATGACAGCATCGGCGTGGGGGATTCCCCGCGCAGAAATCTCATCGAGCCGCTTGCCAAGATTCCGCATTACGCAATAAAGTTCATTGCCATCCCGCCCGTCTTTCAGATGCTTTCTTTCTTCCCCATCATTTTTCCTACACTTTTCGTTATTTTTTTTTTTTTTGGAAGCGAGCGTGAGAAAAATTCTAGGCAAGATTTTGGCAAGCTACCATCTTGGCAGAGGCCCATTACCCATTCCACTGCTCAACACCACCACCGTGGCACAGTGGCCCAGGTCTATAAAAATTCTAGATAAGAATAGATGAGCGGGATGAATAAAGTTTCGGGAAAGCCCAGCATGAGTTGTGATAAAATATCTCTTCATTGATGAAGGCCTAAGGAATAATATTATATTCATTTTTGAAAATGTCATTTTCAACACATAACGAAAATTAAAAGAATTTTTAAAAAATTAGATAAGTTTCTCTTTATTATTTTTTAACTTTTTATGTAAAAATATATTTTATGGAATACTTAAAACTTTGCATAGGAAAACACTTTTATTTAGTTATTGGCAACCCAATTCTTTTTGAATTTACCTTGTTCAGCTTAAATACTTTGTAATTGATCATTTTCAAACACTAAAAAAAACGTATATCAAAAAGTTTTAGTTTTCTTTTAATTCAACGTAAAACATTATTTTAAGGACAATTTACCGCAAATAATATAGAAAATAAGATCCTTTCTTTGCCACTGCAACTTATCTACCGCGTTGGTAAATGCCCAAAAAGGTTTCCAGATTAAATCTAAGTCCCTTTCCCTCTAAAAAATGATTATGTAGCCTTATTTTGGCAGCCAAAACTAATATAAGTCCTCTTTCTCTCCCTTATTGCAGCAGCTGAAGGCCCAAAGGAAGCCTCGTTGGCCAATTGAGGAGGAGACCCCAAAAGTCGAGCCGATTTTCCGCTGCAACTGCCGAAGGTCTGACCAACCAATGGCAATGCACGGCGACGACGAAGTTCGGCCCAAAGGGGGAATCCCCGGGAAACGGGGGAGAAACAACAGCAGCCCTGCAATGCATTTCTTTTGGCAACGTTTCAAGCGGACCCTCACACACATCCACACTAGCACTTGTAATCAACAAGACTTCTTCTTTGCCCCGCTCACATGCGCATCGGGTGGTATACGTAATATATCAAGTATACGCCTGTTGGCGGGCCAAAGTCAAAGTTTGTGAGTGTGTGCGAGTGGGCAAGGGAAGTGCTGCCGACTGCATTGCCGGGCTGCCAGCGACTACAACCCCCGGAACCCGAGAGGACGACAACCCCCTCCTCCCAACGACGAGTCCTTTTCGGAGGCAGCGCATTGGCTGCAGGACGACCGGCGACAGGACGACCAAGCACCAATCAAATCGGGGCTTGTGCGCACTATCCTATCCCGGCCGTACGAAGGCCCAGAGAAGCACGGCATCCAGGACCTCAGCCGGACCCCCCAAGCCGATTGCCAAATCTCTTAGACATTATGCCAACAGTCTCCTATATTATTTACATTTTACATCTTAGTTATTTAGTCGTAAGTCACATGCCCAAGCCAACGCCCCCAGACCAACGGGGGGCGTGACACATTAGTTTAACGATAGAGTTCTTAGTTTCAAGCAGAAGCTATACCAGGATGATTACAAGAATGCATAAGAGAAAAAGGAATAAAAACTGTAAAGCTTCAGAGCGGCACAACAAATATGATGGTGGTTTTATTTGGCCTTTCCGGATTACTACCAAGGATGTAATGTTTTTGGAATTAAGGTTCTCTGAGTTTTTCTTTTATGCATAGCATTCTAATCTTTTTGAAAAAGTTTTATTGTTTTGCCTTCCGACAACTGTCTTTAAAAATAATATAAACTAAGGAATTATTGGGTCAGTTCTAAAATACCTAATTCTAAAATTCGTTCAACATAGTAGAGATTTCAAGAGCCTTTTTATCGGATAGTTATTATGCTTGTTCACAGCATTCCGGATGTTATTATCCCCATCGCCATCTCAGGTGCTTGACCACTAGGTAACCTTGAATGAGGAAGTGGGCTACATTAACGGCCAGAAGACTGTAGTTCTTGGGCGTTATAACCACTGAGTAGCGGCATTGAAGTAAACCAGTTGTTGCCAGGGAAGCACTCTGATTAAGCGATATGTTTGCAGCAGGACGATCCACTGTATCACTCAGACCCGCCAGCACCAAGATCTAGAAATAAGAACACAATGTTTAATGGAGAATTAAATACTGGAAAACTTGGAGACATTTGAAAGTCATGAAAGTTCTATAAGAACTTATCTAAGCCTTACCCACTTGAACGCTGGCACCCAAAAAAACACAGTGCGAGGACCTAAATAAATGAAAAATTGGTTAAATATTTGGACAAATTTAATTGGATCCACTCACCTACTGGAGATTGCCAGAGTGGTTGCACTGCGTTAGGGACAATCTTATCTACAGCACTAATAGTGGCATTGTACAACTTCGACAAAGGTCCTGTGCCCTTCGACATCATTGTAGATAACAAAGAATTTTATACATAAAATTAAATAAAAAGATTTTTTTCTTTTTTTGAAGCGAAAGGCAAAGCGAACGAAGGTTAAAATGTTTGTTAAAACTTAAGTATAAGAAGTTTTTGGGTCTGTTTTAAAAACCTTGTTCTGAAAATTCTAAAGTACAGTCTTAATTAGGCAAATATCATAAAAGTTAACATGTAATATAATTTTAATTATTTCACATCCAATCATTTCCACATTTATTTATCAGGAATTTATAATTCAACGTATTAGAATTTTTTAAGAACCTTGTTACCAATCATCCTCCTTGTTGATCGGATAGTTATTATGCTTGTTCACAGCATTCCGGATATTTTCATTGCGCCATCTTAGGTGCTTGACCACTAAATAACCTTGGATGAAGAACACGGCTACATTAACGGCCAGAAGACTGTAGTTCTTGGGCGTTATAACCACTGAGTAGCGGGACCAAATTAAACCAGTTGCTGCCAGGGAGGCACACTGATTGAGCGATATGTTCGCAGCAGGACGATTTAGAGTATCACTCAGACCCGCCAGCACCAAAGTCTAGAAATATGATCATTATTTTTAATGGAAAATTAAATCAAATATTATTATCTATTTGTAAAATACTTAAGAACTCTTAGAAATTTTAAAGTCATGAATATCTCTCTAAGTAACTTAACTAAACCTTACCCACTTAAACGCTGGAGCCCAAAAAAAAACTGTACGAGGACCTAAGCAAATGGAACATATTTTTCGTATATTTGATAAAAATAAATGGATTAACTCACCTGCTGGGGATTGCCAAAGTGGCTGTACTGCGTTTGGAACAATCTTATCTACAACACTAATAGTAGCGTTATACAACTTGGACAAAGGTCCTGTGCCTTTGGACATTCTTAAAGATAACAAAGAATTTTAAACATAAAATTAAATAAAAAGAAAGGAATTTGAAATTGATAGGCAAAGTGAACTATGGTAAATATTTTGGTAAAACTTAAGTATGAAAATAAAAGATGCAAATATGTAAGATGGTTGTCATAGAAAAATAACTAGTGTAAACTATTCAAATTAGTTCATTTGGAGACGGGCGTTTTTTAAATTAATTAAATTTAAATTAATCAAATAACTTAAATTTTTGTATTATATTCCAAACTTGCAAAATCCAAATTTGCGCGCTCATTTGGCGGTCTATCGATATATCGATACCAGCGATAGCTACTTATTATATTTCTAGTATATCGATATATCGATAGCACCGATTACTAACATAATAAAAACAGCTGTTTTTATTTGTTATCGAAATTCATATAAATTAGCAAAACAAACGAAAAAAGCGGAATAATAATGGATCGCTACAGAAAAGATCGCTCTCCATACAGGGAAAGGAGGAGGGATCGCTCGCCACACAGGGAAGAAAGAAGAAAACGCTCGCCTTATAGGGAAAGAAGGAGGGAACGCTCTCCACACAGGGAAAGAGGAAGAGATCGCTCGCCGTGCTCACCTTACAGGGAAAAGAGGAGAAAAAGGAGCAATGTCCTGACCTACAAGAAACTGCAGAAAATGCCACTAAATCTACGAAAGGCTGCCATACGAGAAGCCCGAAATCGCAATGAGAAGATCCAGGGAAAGCGAAAGGAGCGGAGAAGGAAGCCCCAAGAGGTTCCAACTGCCCGACGTGTGCGAAACGACTTCGATCGTTCCGAACACAATGCGATGTTGGCCAGCACTTCTCAGGAACTACGGCAAATCCTGCAGGACTTCGAGTGTCTCTCGGATATTCCCCACGACATAACGCCCACCGAGCTTCAGGGGGAGGTAAGAATATCATCTAGGCAAACCTTTTAATGCCAGTTAAATATTCAAAAATATTTTTTAAATAGAATTAGAGTTTGGAATTAATATGGTATTACGCAGGAACACAGCCAAAAATGTTCCCCAACCATTTCTAATTTTCCAAGATATTTGGGTGCTCCCAAGTAAATGTACCATACAAACTTAAGTGTCATCACCCACAAAAAAATCGTCCCCATTGCAAACCTTTGCCCATGTCTTCGCAATTCGACACCAAAGCGGAAAATCCAAAAATGTTCTAGATTCTTAAATAACTTTTATTTATTCATGGAAGCTACTGTCCACTGTATGCTTTAATTTCGGTTTAAAGCTTTTTCATGAAACATTTTTTTTTTATTTTATTTATTTTTATTAATTTTGTAAAATTTAAAACAAGTCTATAAGTCATTTGATTTATCAAACTATACTAGAAGCTCCCAGGAGACTCCCATAAAGTAAAATTTCCACTTCAGGGGCCCCTTAAGTCCGAGTTCCACGTCACAATCAATCTTAACTGTAAAGAAATATTTTTTTTAACACAATTATCGAATAACTTTTTTACTTTCTTTACTTGTAAATTGTTAAGCTGATCCACTTTTCATATCAAATCCAAACGTTTTCGGAAAATGACGTTTAAAATGCCCTAATCTGCATAATAAAAGACCCTCTGCAAAATATCAAAGATTATAGTGCTAATTCTGATTGACAAAAGTAGATCGCCTGAAATTCAGACGAATAGCAAATATCATTAAGCGTCATTTAGCCATCCATATAACCAGATACTCCTCCAACTCACTATTACTGGTTGCAATTAGCACTTTGAGCTGTTCGTTCTTGCAATGCTTTCGTCACCAATATTGGCCGTTGACTACTGACCTACTGCCTCAACGTGCTAATTGGTGGACTTTTATTATGAGGAACTCTGTTCCCGTTACGCGGTCCCATTGCACACTGCTTCAGATACTAATACATATATTTCATAATTCCAGATAGCCATCGCCGAGGGACAGGCCACAACGATCCATGTGGAGCGGGATGGACTCAGCACCCTCACCGTGGTGGTCAGTATTTCCTTGAATCGATTCCAAATGCAGCTGCTTGCACTCGCTTTTAATGCCTATCAATTAGCCTCTCGGACCGAAAGTCATCCTCTGAGGCGGCAGGGAAATTGGGTCATTAACATGCAAAAGCTTCTAAAGATGTTTACTTCAAGTTCAGGATTAAATTTGTAACAATAATTGTACTTTTTAAATTAATTTAATATGTTTATTGACAACTAGAGTAATTAACACAAATGATTCCTTACATTTTTTAACTGATTTTAATTCCAACTAAACTTCTTCACTGAGCATAACTTTTAAGTCATGTTTGCTTCAAGTTGAGGATTAAATTTGTATTAAAAATTTTACCTTTTAAATTAATTTAATATGTTTATTGACAACTACAGTAATTAACACTAATAATTCCTTGTATTTATTAACTGATTTTACTTCTAACTAAACTCCTTAACTGAGCATGACTTTTAAGAGATTTTTTTGGCCAAAAAATTCCTATATCCTAAGCAAGACTTAAGCACGCTCTCTTAAATACCCGTTTATAACTCTTCACAAACGACTCTTCTCTAACTCTGATTCCGTTTGGTTTCTTGCAGCTCCACCAGCGCCAGCCGACGATCGCTCAGTTGAAGAGGGCAATTGCTTTGATCTCGCGCGCCCAGCACAAGCGCAGGCAACGCGAACGGAACGAAGAGCGTCTTCGGCGTCGGGGAATCGACGACGGCGACTCCGACGATCGGCGGCAGAGACAACCAGTTGTGGTGGCCAGCTCCACCGGCGAGTTAGTTCATTCCGCTCAGCGCAACGGGCACGATCACCGCGCGTTCGTCTCGTGGCGATTTCTATGGCGCTGTTTCGGACTGCTCAACGTGGACACCAATCAGCCGATCGACGACCGACGCTCCAGCGGCAGGGCCACCCTGAAGGAGCTGGGCATTGAGAACGCCGCCACCCTGAAGTTCGTCCATCGCGTCAAGTATTTCGGGCGCCAGCGACAGAGTTAAAGTGAACATAAACCCAATGATAGTGTCTCCAACGATTGTCAACCATCCGATTCGAAAGTCGGGCAGAAAATCGCGGTCAATATGGATCAACTGGTTTGGCTTTCGTTTTGCATTTCACTCGGCTTTTCCCTCCTGGCAAATTTCACCTCGGGCCTGCCGTTCGAGGATGGCAACAACAACAATGTCAAGATCACTCGCCGCAGTTTGGAGCTGACCCAAACCATCAATATCCAGCGGCAGGAGTACATGCAGCGGCAATGCGAGCTGCTGGGGGATCACGCACAAACGCTGGAGGACCTCAGTGAGCTGCAGATGGACCACATGATCGTGGACAAGGAGCACAAGCTGCTATACTGCTATGTGCCTAAGGTATGAATCAGCAAAAGCTGGCTCGGCAAATTAAGGTCCGAGACAGGGGAACGTCGTTTCATTTTTTTTTTTTTGCATAAATGGGCTATTCAGCAATGCATTTTGATTAGTAGGGGTTTGGTAAATTCATTTTAAATTTATTTTAAAAATCATTTGCATAATCTTTTTATGTCAGAACGGTTTTCATTTTATCTTTAATCTACGTCTATATCAATTCTTTAATCTTCCTATTTATCAGACACTTAAACTCGATCGCCAATCAAACATTAGCAATCACTAAACAAAATTCTCTTTAATATATTTTGTTTGCGGTTGCCATGTGCCGTTTCATTGAAAACCTCAACCACAAAGCATTAGTCAAAAATCCGCATCTGTGTCTCAGTTTTCAGTTTTTGCCTCTGCTTTGTTTATAGAAACTTGTTTTTTTTTTCATTTTCCATTTGAAGCACATGTTGAGCTTCTGTTGATCTTGCGACTTGTGGCATCGACATGAATGACTTTTGATGAAATGTTTATTTGGCCCACAAAAACTATCGCAGGCAGTCCTCCAAATAATCTGATTTCGAGCTGTAAAATCCTTGTAAATAGTGCGACTAGCTGGAGTAGATTTATACGGGGGTTTCGTTACGAGTGCATTTGATTGCTAAGCTTGCGCCACTTCTGGCTTATCGAAAAGGGGAGTCAATTCTCGTGTCAGCTTTATATATGTGCATTCAATATAGTGCTGATTCCACGCGATTTAACGATCAATTACAGCGGCAAGAATTCCACTGCGAGCAGCAATAACGACCTCTGTCAAATGGGCAGCAATTATAGGCCATTTATTCTGTAAGTCGTTGCCATTTCATTTGCATTTGCCAGTCGTCTTAAATCGCAAATCTTTTGTGTTCGCAAGTCAAAGATCAATGCCTTGAAACGTTCTGTCTCACTAGTTGAATACATTTGATAAGCGTGATTTAAAGAAATTTTAAAATAGATTTTGGTTTTTTTTATTGAGGTTCTTTGAGGTCGTTCTATGACGTCCATAGCTAGAGATAATCTTTTTATTAAATTATTGTAGTGTCCATTTTAGCAGCCTCTTATTGATATTTACCTAATTGGATTAGGAAATTAAATTTTTTGGAAATCAGCTATAGGAAATGGCCTTTACGGCTTTGCTCTTATCAACCAATGAGTTATTGGAAAACATCAAACTAAAACTATGAGATTAGATTGCCAGGTGCCGGTTTCTTAGAGGTGTTTGAAGTTGGGTGAGTTGTGACAAGCGTGGTACCGAAATAGCCAAGTGTTTCATGTTGCCGTTGCCCTTTGAACCTTTACTTCTGACAATTTACTTTGATTGTTCGCAGCAATTGATATCTTTGAGTATTACCTTTTTTTTTAATTGGAAATTTATTTGTCGGTGGGCCCTTTACTTAGAATCTTCTACTTCCTGGATCCTAAGATTATTTATAGTTAGAAATAATAGTTTTTATTTCAAGAAAATAGCTGTATTAATCTTTTTCAATTTTTTTTTAAATATTGCATACAAATCAAGATTGAAGTACTTGTCGTAGTGAGATAATTACACTATTTACAATCCGATCTCATGGAACCCACTTAGTTAAAGCCAGTCCCCGGCCAGATTATCATAGATTGTTAGACACACAATGCCATTGAAGTGTTCCACTTGCCTGGGGGCGTGTCTGGGGAACATGCCACCTGAATACCTCGACACACGTTCCCTGTTATCTTGGCGTTTCTTCAATGACTATCATCGAACATAAGCGCGACTGGTTTCGATTTCACCACGCAGGAGGGGTCAGTGGAACGGTTACAGATTTCAGCTTACAATTGCTTAGCTTGGTTTCGCATTCTCATTCGCCACTTGTTGAGTGGTCAGCTTTACATGTTCCCGGCTCGTTCTTCCATGAAGTCGTAAATTGTTTATGTTTACCCTTGGCCAATAGCCTCTCCACCAGCTCCTCCCCTTGGCCCCCCTCAAAAAGGGGGGCTCGCCACTCTGGCCGGAATTTTTATGCGACCATCGCGTGTTGCCTTAATGGCCATAAAGAAATTGCGTTAGATACAACTTGTTGCGTTTATTACTGCTTACGTACGGGGAGGTTTCCCTACATTTTGCCGACCTTTAGAGTGATCATGCAATCTGTATTGAAAAGGGATCTATAAACCTCGATTTTGACAATATTTATATTCAATTTGCAAAGGAAAAAACAGAAAATAAATATTTCACACATCAAAGATTTATGAATTTGGATATTGTGTTACTTCTGTGGTTTATTTAAGGCAATGTCCCAACGAAAACATCTTATTTAAAGTGCTAGGCTTCTGAAAAATCTATTTAAATGTGCACTTCAAAAAAGTTTAAGCTGATCTAAAACAAACAACTAAGACCGACAATAAGCATTTTACTTCATCTGGCATATTGACAATTCTTCAAGTACTGAAAGTTGTTTAAACATTCAAAACTAGTTAGTTACACTTAACGCTAAAAAAAAAAAAGGAAAATGGGAATGAGCAGTAAAAAAGTTTTCGAGGATTTCGATTGAAAATTTAGAAAGTTGATATAAACAGGCTATCACAAAGGATTAGTGACAGGGAATATGTCTTTCAACTGAAATTGTCTAGTGTTTGTTTATAAAAAATTTATCCATTTCACTTTGAATCGACATCTTGACATATCTTAACCTCGCCGCTGATCTTTTTGTGTTTTTCTGTATATTGCCTCACATTTTCACCTTACTCACTGCTAAACGTAGATTTACTGTATATGGAATTGTTTGCTTTTGTAATGTGAAATGTTTTTGCGGTGTTTAATTGGGGGGGCAACCAAATGTTTATATAGACCCGGGCACGTTTTTATGTATGTGCTTGGTGTTCCCCGGTTTTCGTTAGTTGACTTCAACAACTTGACTTATTGCCCAATGCCTCCGAGTGTAGGGAAACCCATCCGTTCATCTCTCTTGGCGAAAATTATAATTTATTGCTCTGGGCAATTAAAACCAAAGCAGTTAGGCTCATCATACTTGGAGGAGATTTTATTTAACGATTACCCCTCAGCAAGTGGCAAAATGAAAACCATAAAAATTTAATTTTTATTACCGGGTCACTTGTTTCTTGAACGTAACTTGGATTTTGTTTTCAGCAGCTTTCGATTTGGAATATTTACATTAATATAAATTGACTTGGTGACCTCTTTTTTAATTGTAAAGATATAACGATTTGCCCTGTTCTTACTTTTAAAAATGTCCCAGTTGAAACTTAATAATGTTAATTAATTAATAATTATGTATATATTAATAGCCAATTTGATTTTATTAATTGCCTTGACAGAATGGGTTATTTCTTATTAACGCTCTATTTAATGATCATTAAATTTAATTGCAATATAATAGCCAGTCATTAGAAAATCTACCCATTCATAAACAGTTCTAATGACTATTAATAAGTTGTGAATAGTTTGGAAATGAGTGTACAGAATGACACCTGCACATAGATTTATCAATTCATTATCTATCGGAACCACTCATGTACACTTTTATGGAAGAAGGGTTGATGTATTCCTGCTTATCGGTGGTTCCCTATAATTATGTTTACTTGTGAAATGCGTAAGAATTAGGTGATTCACCCACTAGCCACAAAATCCATATAGTTCTTCAAGAAAACTTAACCTTCGGTCTGAAATACTTCATAATGTAAGCAGAAAGAAATTATTTTTCTTGTTTATTTGGTTTAATTGCCCGAAGAATTGTGTTCAACTAAACAAAAATATAAATCTTTGTTTTCCAGGTTGCCTGCACGAACTGGAAACGGGTGCTGATGATGCTCACGGATAAGTGGCACAACGGAACCGATCCTCTCCAGATTCCGGGATCTTTGGCGCACTCCGTGGGGATGTTCACCAAACTGTACGATTTATCCGAAGCGGAACAGCAGCAGGTGCTTAGCGAGGAGTATACACGTTTTATTCTGGTGCGACATCCCTTCGAAAGGCTACTCTCCGCTTATAGGAATAAGTTGGAGGGGGATTCCCCCAGTGCGAGGTACTTCCAGTCGCGGGTGGGTCGCCAAATCGTGAAGGAGCTGCGGCCGGGTGCCAGTAACGATTCGCTGGAGCACGGTGACGATGTAAGCTTCGGGGAGTTTATCCAATATCTGGTCACTCCCGAGCTAAGTCGAGCCAATCAGTCGGACTACAACGAGCACTGGGAGGTCATAGCCAAGCTGTGCAATCCCTGTGTGATGAAGTACAATGTAGTGGGTGAGTTTAAACCACCTCTTTCCAAGAAACCATTGACTAATTAACTTATCTTTCAGGCAAATACGACACTCTGCTGGACGATTCTGCTTTGGCCCTCTATTTGGCCGGAGCCAACAACCTAACATTCCCCACTGGCCACAAACCGTCGAGCACACGGGCCAATCTGCGCACCTATTTTGATCCCCTGCCCATCGGTGCCATACGCAAGCTGTACGATATCTATGAGGAGGACTTCCGGCTATTCGATTATGCATTGGACGAGGTCCTTGGCTTTGAGTTTGGCTGATTGCGAATACCTGCTCTCTCTCTATATTTCCAAGTCTCCACCATAACGCTTTCCACTGGAAAAGATTGTGATTTTAGGCTAGGATTCATAGAATTAAGTGCACTCCGAATGCGAATATTATATTAGTTCTATATACCTCCCCGCGCACAAATGTTTCCAAGGATTTCGATTGTAGGTTCTTACTAAGTTATGTTTGTTTTTCTATGGATTAGTTATGTTAAGCAAGAGTAAATAAGATAAAATATTTTAGGAAACAGCTATGTTCAAAATATGTCATTGAATAGTAATTAATTTATACATTATGGATCCAATATTGTTTAAAAATATAAATGTATGCAAAGTTGAAGTACGATAAGATTTCTTTTTACCTTCAAAGGACTGTTTTTCCGCTTATTTGCAGTTGAAATGTTCAATGCTGAACAACTTTCATTTTACAAATCTAATTTTAATTGAGAAGTGGTTGTATGCACAATATCATTATACTGAGTATTTGATAAATCTTTTGAAAATCCCATATCTTTTTGTACCACATAAACATATTGATTCGTTGAAACTTCTTGCGTCTTAATTGAAGAATGTATTTTAAATTGGCCAATAGATACAATTAGTTTCTAGATAAAAAACTAGATTTCTCAAAAAAAAATAAAAATAGTCCAGTGTTTTCGGTTTTATAAATAGTTAAGGCAAATGAATTATTAACTAACGCCTAGAATTTCTCATTTATATTTTAAAATTATATTAAAAATCAGATTAGGAGGTATTTCTTGGTCGAGATTCTCTCAAACCGCCTATCAATCCAAATACCGACAGCTTATAATGTAAAAATCCACTGAATTACTTACAATGATCGTGCGCTTTTCACAATGACACTATAGCACTTGTGTTATCAGTGAAAAGCCCGCTGATAACATTGAATAGTATTTGAGTATTTTAAAATCTCCCTTTAATTGCATTGCGAAGAAGCTTTCATGTTTTCGTCAGCGCGAAATCAAAAGCTCAATCAACTCGACGGCGTCCGTAGGTTGTTTATCACCAAGACATGGACAATTAGTGGTAAGCGTGTGCTATAAACTTACATATATACTTGGGGGCGACCCACGATCAGCGGTCAGATGAATTTAAATACGCAATATTGTCAATAAGCGAAGGCGAGACGGCGCCCAACGCATTCGGGGAATGTTGGCAAAGGCGGCAAATATCTGATAGATACTTTTATCACAGCGACATATCCGAAATAGACCCAGATAAACATACACCTGCCAGGCCCCTCCTTCCGGCGGAAAGAAAGTAACGGTTTATAGGGAATAGGGAATTTAGATACGATCTTAAGTTACTGAAATATCTTATATCTTTTTTCCAGTGCCTTCAATTAACTTGACTTCTTTTTGGTTATTTTGGTTTATTCAATGACTGCTTCGTTTATTCGCTACGTCCGTTTTTTCGCTTTTTTTTGGCTGCCTCAATAACAAACTTTAAGTTGGACATTGACAAGACATTCGAAATTATTATTGTTGTTTTTTTTTTTGGGTTGACTTTGCTTTGGCCGAACAATATGCATATATTATATGTGTGTGTGATACTTTTTTGTGTGCGACAAGCAAGGCAAACATATCATATTCTCACGATTCCTCCTCCCCCCGTATCACCTTCATCTTCCGTTTCAGTCCTTGAATTTTCGCCACGATTTCCGCATCGCTGCCACGCCCTCTTCACTCCGTTCCGCCCGCTCAGTCACTTAGTCATTGTAGCTGTAGCGCTGCTTAACACTGCGGTACTTCTTCAGCGAGTACAGGGCCTCCACCTCCTTGGCCAGGTAGCGTCCTTGGGCCAGCAGGGCCACGATCTTCTTGGGATCCTGCTCATCCTTGTGGTTCATGAAGGCATCGTGGATCTGCTTCCTGAACTTCTGCGGCCCGTTCAGGCCGGGATATTCGCGGCCCAAATACTGCAACTGCAAGTGTTTACGCAATGTCAGTGGGCGGTCTTTTGAGTTTTGGGTGGAGGTTGGGTGCACGTGCCACCCGGAAAACATCAGAGAACAGAACTTACGTGCTTGTAGAGGGTAATGACTTTCGAGCGCAGCTGTGACATCACCAGTGGTTCAGTGCAGCGGGATTTGTTTGTTTGTTAAATGCAAGTTATCAACTAATTTGCAGCAGCTTTTTACCAGCTTTCGAGGAATTTATTTCGAGAAGTGAATCACACGGCTGTCGGAAAGGGTCTAACGCGTCATGAAGTTCCGATTCCCCGATAGCGATGGTAGCCAAGCTACAGTCAGGTTATAGCCTATTCCCACTATCCAACATCATCAGTTTCAGTCGACCCGCCAATCAAAGCCTGTTTCCATTGCCACATAAATTAATTTAAAAATGAAATGATAATTACAAATATATATCATCTTGTTCTTAAGAATTTGCGGTTTTTAAAGAATCAATAATTATAGAGGCAAATATAGGAAATAGTGATTGAGCTATGAACAGTCCTACCAATCTGAAGTTCCTACTGTTCTTAGGATTTTAAAATGAATTAAATTAAATTAAAAAATGAATTTTTTGGTTTTACCTTTCTGAATTTAGTTGGATTAAATTTTATAAAGATTTAAAAAATCTTTAAAAAATATGAAATATAACCGATATGCAATTTAAATACTTTTATAAAAAGATCTCTATACTCGAGTTGCCCCGTGTTTAAGATGGTTCTAAAATAAATATTTTTAAAAATATACTTGAATGTTGTTTGCTATTTAGCTGGACAATAAAATAATACTTTTAAATGAAAAACATTTTTAAACGAAAAAAAAAAATTCGAAAGAAAGCAAAAAATTTTCAAAACATAACAGAACGTGTACAACAAGACACAACAACCATTTACATCTATACATATTTACAAATTTATTTGTTGAAATGCTCTCTTTGTCATGATACAAAATGTTTTAATAGGAATATATATATATATAAATACATAAATATACCAACAATAAACGGGGAAGAACCACTTCCCGACCATCATGGTATAAACTTCAATTTGGAAACGGCCAATGAGTCTTCTTCACTGTAATCTAACTAACAGATCATTGCCTTGTTTTAGATAATACCAAATACTTGCTTAGAATGAGAATAAGCAGAACTGGGAGTCTGCAGCAAACTTTCAGCTTTCTGTGAATGTATAAAAGCCTTGATAATAATTACTGTGTACGAATAAAGAGATATTGGCTTTGTGAATGTGAACGCAGCGATAAAGTTGAACTTTTCTATGCTGGAGAGGAATAAAAATACGATCTTTGTCGCGGCAAATTGCAAGATAAGTGCTGAAGGCGAAATTGTAGCTCCAAATCGGTAGATTAAGAACGAATTTGGTCCCGCTGAATAGCGCATAGCTGTTGGTTATTCAAAAAGTAACTGGAAATGCATCGATAAACGGAATAAGAGTTAAACAATGTCGCGGGCGAACGGAGCAAAGGCCTCCCAATAGCTGACGATCTGAAAGGCAGGGGAGATTATTAACCCACAGTGCGTGTGCTTATAAGTATGCGTAGTATACCTGTTGCTGATGCGCCATTTGGTCTTCGATATACTTGATAATGTTTACTTTGAAGTCTTTAACTCTGGTCAATTCGAATCTCTCCATTTCGCGCTTGATTTCAGCGGAAATGTCGTCGAACTGCTGCTGACAGCGCTGCACCTTTCCCTGCCACTGCAAAGAAATCTGGGATTATTAAGAGAATAAATAATGGGTTAAGCAGACGTACCTCATCCACTTCCTGCTGGGCCTGATCCAGCTTATCCGCCCTGTTGGCCAGCTCGAAGCGTCCGCGGTTCTCCCGCCGCTTGGACAACTGCATTTGTGCGTACTGCCAATTCTGAAAGGCCTTGACGCGCTCATGGAAAATGCACTTGATGGCACCGAACAGGCCCAAGTAATCCTTGATGAACTCGGCCAGTATGAAGAAGTCCGAGTTGGCCTGCTCCGAGCGCAGCAGCTCGATCTTCTCCTCCACATCGGCCAGATTGGACAGCGCCCTCGAGAGGCCGGTGTGCTCCTCGCAGGTGCTCAGCATGGCCGCCGACTTGGCCACCAGACCCGTGAGCAGCGACAGCTCCCGCCGCGAGGTGACCAGCGACTTCATGGCATTGTGCAGCTTCTGCAGATTGGCATCCAGGCTCTCCACCTCGGTGATCTTGTCATCGAACCACGGATCGTTCTCGTCCATCTTGTACGTGATCTTGTTCACCGTCTCGCCCACCTTGTTGAATAGCCGAATGACGCCGGCTCCACTGAGTGCCGAGGTGTTGACCGAACGCGGCAGCTCCTGGTCGCTCTCCAGGAAGTTCATAAAGTCCAGATCGACGCGCAGCACTGGATGCTGGGCTGTGCGATGAACGAATCGCTCGAGGGCCGCCCGGCGGATCTCCACCCACTCCTGGGTCATCGGGGTGCCCGGCTCGCTCTGCTGCGGGCTAATCTTGACCTTGGTGCTGCCGATGATGTTCTTCGAGGGCGCCGGCGGAATGATGCGACCCAGCCGCATGTACTTGCCCACGAGCAGATCATGGATGCCCAGGAAGTCGCTGAAGCGACGCAGGGTGCTGAACTCGCTGCGCTTGAATTTGGGAATGTTCGTTTTGGTCGTCACCCTGATAAGAATGAATGTAATTTAATATGCTCTTTCTATGATAAGGCGGGGTGACTCACTTGTAGGCCAAATAGGAGCCCATGCCATCGCCGATTTTCTGCGGATCCGAGACCACAATGCTGATGAAGTAGTCGCCGTCCTCGGTGAGCACCTCCTGCAGCGGCTGGGGGGTAATTTTGATGGGAAAAGGGGATTATATAGGGGATATATTTCCAGAAAGCAACAAGCTTTGCTGGTGGGCGGCACTCGTGACGTAGCCACAAAGCCAAACAAAGCGAACGCTGATAAAGCGACCGACGCCCCGAAATTCTAGCTAATTTAGTATAGAACCTCCGGATGCGGGTTATTCCGGGTTTATCGGCGCTACTTACATGGATATCCCCGATGCTGCTGGGACTCAAAGCCGAAACAAATAGATCACTTTCGTTTCGGTCCAGAGTTACGCTGCCCGGCGCTGGCACCTCCTCCTCCTCGTCTTCCGAACCGGATCCCGCCGCCCCGTTGTTGATGTCCACCTCGGCAAAGTCTCGCGTGTGTTCCGGGCTTTCCACCTCCATTTTATCTGACTGTTGCTGCGCTTTTTCTAATTTTATTAATTGCAATTATCGGACTTAATTTTTTTAACGTCGCTGCAGCAGTGTGACCAGAGTGCGGAAGGCGCTTTTAGCAGAAAAGCTGGCTGAAAGCTTCTGGTATTTATTTTTAATCATAAAAATACTGCATTACGTGACTTGGTAATCACTGTTTAGATTTGAAAGTAAACCGTTACAGGAAAGTTTACTCATTTTGAAATAAGTAAAATATTATTTATCGACAAAAAGGACAACAAAATTTGTTACATTTGTTAAAAAAAACTTGTGTACTTGTTAAATAAATTTCATAGGGATGGAACAATTACATTTATAGACAAAATTGAATAATAGAAAAAAGCCGTTACTTGAAACAAATTTTATATTTGCTAGGTTCTCCTTAACTTTTTGATAGTTTTATAAATTCGAATTTACTTTAAACATTTTGTTTATCTTTTAAAATTAGCTTTCTCTACAAACACTAAAAGCTGAAAAATTACTTGGAAACTTGACCTAAATAAATCAAAAAGCGTTTTCCTAAAGACATCATAATTTGTGTTTTGTTTTTGATTAAGCAAATGCAGATTTAATTACTCTAAAAACCCGTAACTTTTTGGCGCAAACAAAATTTTCTTTTCCTTTTCCAGAGAAAGCAGGACAAATTAATGGAAATTCAATTAGGACCATAAATTAGAAAGACTTATGTCGAAGTAAAAATATAAGAAAAAGTTGGACTGAAGTGGAAAGAAATTGCGAGACACAGATGATTTTTATTATGTGATTTAAAAAAACAAACTAGGTTATTACTGTCATAATAACCGTCCCAAAAAGGTGGTGATATTTCTTTTGTGACCTCTCACCCTTTTCTTCTGCGGCAATCTGCATTCTGCTTAACTTTTCGACAATAAACATTTGGCCAACAACATGCGCGACACTTTGTCGACATCTTGGCTGCGAGCAAGATTTCCAGCTATTTTCTGATTATTCCCTTGTTTTTCCCCGGATATTTTCATGCCTGGCGCATATTTTTATGCGGAAAATTTTTCAATTTTTGCAATTGCAACTTTCTGTTGCTGCTGCTTGTTTTTCCGCTCTCTCTCGCAGTTCACCCCTTAGTTTTTCGGCGACTTTTGTTTAAATTATGCATACAAAAGTGTCGCAGCCACTTAGGAAAAGACAGAAGAGGCAAGGAAAAGGGAAAAGGGTAGGAAAGGCCGGGAAAAGTTTGCCAGCGCTTGGCCAGTCACTGTGGATTTTCCGCATGAGAAATACTTTTAACACTTTCTGTTTGCCTTTTCCAACAAATTGAAAACGAAAATAAAGGATTATGGGTTCAGGTTTTGGAGAGAGGGGGCAACCGGCAGATTTATAACCTCCCCGATGTCTGCGAGACAAAATCCTTTTACACTTTATTAATTTTATTCCCCTGTTGCCTTTGATGATCTGCAATTTTTTGAGCATTTTTTTCGTCTGCTGACGCACTTGAGCCTCGTCACTGGCATTATCCTCTTCCACATCAGCGGTCCGCGATTAATAAAGAGCTGTGGTTTAATTGCCGCCAGGCTGGCTTTAATGGTTAATGGCCGAAAGGCAAAGGGGTAAAAGCAAAGGCAAAGGCAAAGCCATCCGAAGTGCGAAACTCTCCTGAGTGAGCAGCGAATGGGAATTACTTAGAGTCAATTAATTATCTAGGTGGTTCACTGCACCAGGAGTCTTTGAACTTGAAGCGATTTGAGACTAACTCTTAATCTAACAAGCTGATAACACTAACACCTGCGATAGGAAATCATTTAGCATTCCAAATTTTCACCAATAAATATATGATTTAAAAATCCCATGACAATTAAATTCCCTTTCCTTCCAGAAATTAAAATTTAAATTGTCCCCTATCATTGAATTTATCTGGTCGCTTATTCAACCGAGTGATAACCACCCCCACAGCCACATAAATCATCATTATAAGCATATTTGCAACTGCCCCAACTAAACCGCCAAACAAACCGACTTGTGGAGATCCCAGTGCTAATTACTGCAATTTGGGTTGAGGATGGGAAAGGGAAGGGCTTATGTAAGTGGAGATGAGACCAGCTAACCACGTTATCCAGACAGCGATAATGTTTGTCAACAAACCGGGAGGAAAAAAGTTGTACATCACAGAGGCGTGACCAAACCAAGTTGGGAGAATGGGGCAGACGGGGATGAGGATGAGGTAACCCGACCAGAAGACACTTGTTAGCTGGTAATTAGCCCGGCACGTTTGCCATTCTGGCTAAAACTGTCTCAGAATGTCACTCACTTAGTAATATTTCTCACAAATAAGATAATAATAATGTAGGATTTGCATTCTTAGTTTAAACTTAGCTTGTACTTTCAGAATAACTCAATATATTTTTATAAGATTTTATTAAATTTAACTTTTATTTATCCAGAGGTTCCTTAGCATCGTAGGCCTTACTATAATCCAAAACCATATCGTTGATAACCTTCTTGACCTCTGTGGCAAATATAAAGTCCAAGTGTCCCCAAGTGGGATCGGGAACTTCATGTAGCAGAGCCAAATTGGGCAAAAGGTCGGGCAGTCGGCTGATATCCTGCTTGTTCGCTGAACCATCAGACAAACCATAGTACAGGTAAAGTTCAGAGGTAATTTTAGTAAGATCATATGCCGGGGGCTCTTCCACGCCGTAGTATTCCAAATTCTTGCGGCTTCCCCAATCGTACAGACGGAATTCGTTTGAGGCGAAGGACTGAATGTAGTGAATGGCCTGGTTAGAGGAGACTCCAGCGGGATGAGTTTCAGCTATTTGCGGGAGAAGAGTCTAAAAAATAAAATTAAATAAAAAGAAAATATTAAAGTTTTTTTAATGAAAACGATCGATAAAAGCTTTATAAGTACACCCAGGAAAAAAATCGAAACAGAAAGTAGTGATCACTTTATCGTCACTTGATTATTTTGACCTTAAACATTTTCAAGAAGAAACGTTCTTCAAATCAAGAAGAAATTGCTCTTTTCGAGAACCAGCGATCTTAAAATCGTAAAAAAATTTCCATCGACTATATAAACTTTCTCTACTTAGTTCAAGAGCGGTGGCACTCACCTGATTTAGGTTTCCAATTTCAGGACCTCCCCAGAGCATCGCGAGAGTCTTGCAGTAGCTGAGCAAAATGGGCCGATTGCTGCAGGTGGTGTCCAATATCCTCTGGATGAACGAGTTCTGGGGCAGTAGAACCTGGTTCTCCAAGAGAGTGGAACCAATCCCATGGTGTCCAAAGTAGGGAGCCGTGCTCACAATAAGTCCCTCCGTGGTGTTGCCCATGAAAACGGGCGGGGCGAGCATGTGAGCCGTCTTGATTTTGGCATTATACTCGGGCCTATAAGAGCCCATCACGAAGAAGGAGGTGCAACCCTGGGAGTGGCCCACATAGTGCAGGGCCTGCTGTCCCGTGAGATCCAGGATATAGTCAATCGTGGTGGGCAGATCGATGGAGCCAATCTCGTGCCAGCTGAACTTCCAGAAGTACGGATGCCTCACATCCAGCCTGGTGTTGTTCCGCGAGTAGATATTGCCACGAGCATTGCCCAGCCAGACGTCGTAGCCCGCATCTGCGTAGTTATACGGCAGCGCATCCTCCGGTCCATTGAGCAGGAAGCAATCGGAGCAGCTGAACAGTCCGTGCATGATGAGCACCACCGGACGAGGGGATTCGGATTCCCCGCCATTGTTTAGCTTCGGGGAGTGGGGAATGCGGAACAGATTCAGCACATAGCCGTCCGGGGTCTCCGCAAAATGCGATTCGGCCGGATAGCCATGCTCGGCAATGCGCTCCGCCTGCAACGAAAATCAAACTTAAATCGCAGCTTGAAATGGGTAAATATTTTTAAAGAAAAATTAGGGCAAAATTAGGGATCTGATTTTAAAACATAATCGTTAACATTTAAATACTATAATCTTAAAAAGAGTTTATTTAAATGTTTTATAAACTTTATGGTATATGCATTTTTAAATTGATATCTTTATTGGATTACGTAACAAAGTTCCTATTTAAGTTAAGATATTTTAGAAGGGAAAATGTATTATTATAAGTGTCTTATTATATCACACATAATAATAAATTCACTCAAAATAGATATCATTTTGATCTCGACACACTTTTTTAATTTATTAAACTATTCTCGATCAGAGGTTTATTTTCCGTATTTAATTAAATATATTATATTTACTTCTATTTCAAACCCACCGAAGTCTTGAGCCGCTGGAAGGGTATATCAATGAAAGGATCAAAATCGTCGATAGCTCTAGTTAAAGCCACAATGGCTAATATAGTAAATACTCTACTCAGCATTTCGGGCTGAACTTTTGTCTTCAAGATCGGTCGTACGACTAAGCATTTGCGCAAATACTTATTAATCAATTTCAGTTGAATCTAATCTATAGATTGAAAGTCGAGTGAGGCTATTTATTAGTGTGTTTCCCTGATACCAGAAAAGCGCCCCGCAAATCCAAGATTTATGTACTTTCCGCTGTCCAATTGGATTATTTAAGGCGATTATCGTGAATCGATAAGCGCGACCAAGGGGGCTACGTTTAATGATTTTATGGGTTTCAACAGCAATAAACCTAATACAATTACTAGATACTCGAAAGGGTAGTTTAGACTCAAGTGAAATTAAGTCTTTAACAAAAACACAAACCTATGATTTTACACGTTAATTAATAGCTTAATTTAAGACGATTTTATGCATATTTATTAGCAATAAAAAACACCTAATAATGGCTTAAAACCTGTTTCTTCGCAAAAAAAAGATTTTTTTCTCTAAACATCACTGGTCATAAATTTAAACGACAATTTTAAGTACTCCATTATACTTAGGTTTACCTCTACAATGAGGAACTAACAATGCTATTTTGGGAGCTCGTACGAAGCATCTAATTAGCTTGCTCTCTCCATTATGGGACTTCCACCACCACCACTCACGAAATTCCTTGAATCCTTTAGGGCACAATGCAATACACAATACTGCCTCCCTTTTACCAGGTCCTTTTCCCAATCAGACAGAAATTGCAGAACACGCCTATCAACGAGTTGCGCCTGACTTGCTGCGATTTTTGCATTATGTCAGTGAATTGTAATGCGGCAAGATAGCAGAATGGCTGCGGGGTAGGGGATCCGATTGGGCGGTGCAGTGGGTGGTGGTTTTAAGGGGGTGGTGACTGGGTGGTGCACCCACTGAGATTGGCATTAAGCGTGGCGAAAGCCACAAATTGCGAGCATCGATGACGCTCGGTCTCCACGAGTTCGCTGCTCAAAGTCTTACTACAGTGAAAAAAACTATATACATTTTTGGTTTTAAATTTTTTTACACCTCTTTAAGTTAATATTTATTTTTAAATTTAAATTTTAATATAGAATGTTTAAACTATATAGAATTTATTTGCCAGAATTCAGGAAACACCAAAATACATTAAACAGTTTTTTGGGGTCTGAAAATTGGCTTTCAAGTTTATTACTCATACGCACTGTTGCCTTCGATCAAAAAGTAATTTTAATTTAGGTGGCGTAGATTTAGAATAACAATTGCTTTTTTAGTCCCCCTTTCCTAAAACAATTATTTTAACACAATTTAATAATTTAAAAAAGTTTTAAAGTAAATCGTAACTGTCATTCCTTTCGTATGAGTAATTTTTGGGACATGTTTTAGTTTTAAAAAAAGGTTTCTTTTGTTGGCCATTCTCATACATATTTTGTACAGTGTACGATCCCACGCTCCTTCTGTCTACGGGTGATATGTGTGGATACGAGTTCGGTATTGTCACGGCAATGTCGACGCCGTCGGAAATTCAGAGGAAAGAGAGATAAACCGAACCAAACGTAAATGCGGTTCATTGAAATTATGTGAAGTGCAGAGGGAGGTTCTCTGCAAAACTCCCTCAGGAAGAAAAGTTGAAAAAAACTTAAGGGCGGCCAGACAACAGAAATGGAAATACATTTTAAAGGAAATGCAAGCTAGTTTACCAACAATATAAAATTTAAGAACATTATAAGTAAGAACTTTGGCGAAAGAATGGAAAAAAAGATGAAACCCTTTAAAAATGATTGCCTAAATTGTAAATCCTTAAAATTTAGATCAGTAAAAACTTTTTTTTGTTGATAAACGCTTGTTTAAGCCACAATTATTCATTGCCTTTTTTCAGCTCGTTTGCCAAATTGTTTTGTGGTGCCTTCTTCATCTCGTTAGGTTTTCTCGGCACTTTCTACTTGCAATTCAATTAAACAACTTAATTGGCTGCCTGATGAGGACCGACTGTCTGCCAAAATGCAATTCGATTGCATAAAAACGTTGGTTTTTCGTCTTTTTTACTCTCGAGCCTGAAACAATTTTCCATCCGCCAGCTGGAAAATCGTGACTTATCATAAATCTAGAGTTACGATGCGCCCACGTATAGCCACATATATCCGCAGATATAGCCAAGTGTTAGGCGACAGACAGCTTGGATTTCAAAAACAAAAACGTTGGCAATAGCGCCAATAACAACGTTGTCATCAATGTGTCAAGTTTGCGTTAATGGCCAAGTCAAAAAGCCACTTACAAGCCATCTGCCAAGTCAAGTCAACCTGCCCTTAAAATTGTTTTTATTTTTTGTCTTTTATTTTTCTTTATTTTCTGGGGTCAGGGCAAAGTTGAATGTCAAATGTGTACGTTGTGCATATAGGTTTACAAGCATTTGTCTGTGAATATGTGATTAATAAACAAATGATGGAGGAGAAAATGTATAAGATATTGATAGGTATTTATGTATGCATGATATTGACAATAAAGTAAAATCATTTAATAATAAAGATGACTAAGAGTATTAGGTATATGAATGAAAACTTCGAACTTTTGGATACAAAATATATTAAGACAAACTTTAATAACTCATTAAATTTAATTAAATAAAATTTACCCAAATATTTGATTGATTTATATATTGCTAAATATAACAATATCCTATTACCATTTCTAATTGATGGCAAGGCCAAAAGCAAGCAGTCACAAAGCGAACAACTTGCACCCAGGATGATGATTTGCAGACATCAAGTGCGTATGCGAGATATCAAAATGCAATATTTCCAGTAGAATAAATCTACGAACTTCCCCCTAAACTCTTGCTATTCAAGAACGAGTGCGAGTATGCATATGGCATGGTAGCAATTTTTTTTGCCATCTTGCAATTGACAAGCACAATAAATTGTGAAATATGGCCGTTGCCTTGCCAGCTCCTCCACATCTTCATCCTGGGTCCTCTTATCTAGAGGAAATATTAAAATGTAGCTATGTGGGAGTTTAGGATGTGCGAGCGAGCGTGTGAATGAAAAATAAATATATGCAATAAAATGGAAGAAAAGGAAACATTCGTAAAAGTACCTTGTTTACCCTGAAGATGAATCTGGAGCCTAAAACCTAAACACAGAATAATTATAAAACAAGTATAAACGATAAAAATATAAATATATTTTTAAAACATAAAAAATTACCTACAAATTAATAAAACCGTATTCCAATCTAAGGAAGTTATACTAAATAGAATAAATATTTAATAAAAAGCATATTCTTGTTTATTAATACACATGTAAATATTTTTTATACTCTTACATAAAAATCGATAAATTTCTTATCTGTTTTTGTTTTATAACTTTTATTTGAAAATATCATATCAGTTTAGATGGTATTATGGCAGAGTAAAGTTATGCGGAACACATAAATCCCAAAAACCAACCGACCAAGGGGCTAGCACTTTCACTTCCATTTGAAAGATAAATTGCTAGTGAAAATTGTTTCATTTGTTTCGATTTTATGCACTTTATTTTGAGGAAATATTTCTCATCGGTTTTTGCAAATGCTTCGTAAAGAATTGCACACATTAAATTGCATTTAAAATGTGCATACTCAACACACTCGACGGTCTGCCATCATGTGATGAGCACCCCACGAGGTGTCGTGACATGTCAGCGAGGGGTGGACAACTGGGCAGGCGGAAAACTGGACAGGTGACCACAGCGCTGAAAGGCAAGCCAAACATGTGTCGGGCTTTAATTATGTCATAACATTACGGGGGAAGGTTTAAAGGGGGTGCCCAAACATGATATGGCATGTTATTTTGAAAAACATGCGAAAATGCTCGATTTGTATTTGTGCAACATTCGAAAGGTGCTTTTAAATTCTTTGTTTGCCGTTCAGCATGTTCCTATTGCAATCGATTTGATTGGAGTGATATGGTGTCAAAATTTGGAAAGAAGGATTTTCTTGGTACATATCTGGAAATTTCAAAAGAAATTTTAAATAGTTATAATATTAATAAGATTACATAAATTCATAAAACACAATAAGGTATGATAATATTATTTAAATTAAAAAACTTAAGAAGTTTGCTTTCCTTATTTTAAAAAAATATTATTATTTAAATTAACAAAAATATTTTTTAAATGTTTAAGTTTATTCTTTAAAATTAGAGCTTTTGATAATTACTTTTACAAATTTTAATAATTGATTAATTTTTTAACCAGTTAAATAAATTTTTAAGATAAATCTTGACCACATTTTGTTTTGTTTAACAATTTCTTCTCTCAAACTTTTTTGTTCTTATGTAAATCGATTTAGGTAATTTAGCTGTAACTCTGGTTTTGAACAAATTGACACCGGTCAAAGTGGAATTATTTTGCGCGATTTAATACCACCTTTTTTTTGGTTTTTGCCACTAATGCCACAAATGTGTTGGCAAACTTGTACACCGCCCCCTTCCTTCCTTCTGCCCTTTCCACCCACCGCTATATAAACAGCGGCAACTAACTCATGCAAAACCAATTAGGTGCGGTCGTTTCGCATCGCAACATCAACACGATGATGCATTGTACCACCAGCCACCCTGCCAATGCCCCCTGCCCCTCTGGCCATTATATTTTAACCAAGTTTTAATTATTGCAACCGTATGCTGGCTTCTTTTTTTGGATGTGTGCTCTGTAAACGATTTGAGCGAAAAACTCAGCTGGGAAATGTATCACTTTTCGTGTTGGTTTTTTCTCGGTTTTTGCAGCTGATTTTTAATAATCTGCAATCTCGAAGCCGCTTCTTGGCCAACTCTCCTCTCATCTGCTCATTAACGGGAAGAGCTGCTCATGCATTGCATTTTGAGTGGTAGTTGTTGGTACACGGATAAGAAAGATTTTGGGATATGAAGCAAAATACAATTTGGAATATTTTATTATTTAAAAAAATATATTTAATATTTATATTTATCTTATAAGATAAAACAACAATGGAAATGTTATGCAAAAATTTTAACACAACAATTTCGAAACCTTTTAAATTTGAACCTGATCTTTGGTATAAGTAGGCACAACAATATTTATAATATTTGTATGATTTTTTCATTATTTTTCCTCAGTGTAGCTGATGGTTGATTCAGCTTGGCTGACTTTTTGCTAAACTCAAACTTCTTGGCACCTCAAGATGTTAGGCCAGTGTTGAGCAATTTGCAAACGCTCACTAATTGTTGGCCAAATGCTTCAGAGTGTTATGGCCGTAATGACGGAAGCGTTCCGCGGAATAAGTGCCATTATTTCGGAGAAGAGGTGCTCCATAAAACAGGCCAAAGAATGAAAATAAA